CACAACCACCGAACCACCGGATCGCCCCGGTGAAGGCCCAGCCATATCGATGGAGCACCTACTCACAAAACTGAACATTTGCTTCAAACCGTTCAAATCGCCAGGTCTAGAGAAGGTGATCCCAGCTCAACTTCAGAGAGCTGGGGACCAACCTATCTGCTGGCTACAATGTATCTTCAAGAAGATACTAAAGGTAGGAAAGATTCCTAAAGCATGGCTCAAGGCAGAAAGTGTCTTCATCCCGAAAGCGGGAAAAGCCTCCTACTAACCGGCAAAGGACTTCAAACCGATAAGTCTCACCTCCTTTCTCTTAAAAACATTCGAAAGAATAGTCGGACTACATCTGAGGACAATCATCAACCCTCAGATGCTGTCATACTCACAACACGCATACCGAAAAGGTAAATCCACGGAAACGGCCCTACGCGAAGTAATTTCAGGTATAGGGAAAGCTCTACACCTTAAGGAATACTCCCTAGCGGCATTCCTTGATATTGAGGAAGCCTTCAAGAACGTCGAACCAGGAGCCATTACGGCGGCCCTGACTGACCTGAGGGTGGTCCGCCACTTGGTGACGCTCATCGATCAATTTCTCACATGCAGGACGGTGACATCATCAATGGGTTCGTCCACTCAGACAAGGTATGTCAACAGAGGCACCCCGCAAGGAGGTGTCCTGTCTCCCCTCCTATGGAACATTGCAGTCAATAAGATTCTATGTGACTTGGAGGGGGTGTCTGCAAAGTAGTGGCATATGCAGACGACGTTGTCCTAATGTTCACGGGAAAATTACTCCAAACACTCTGTGATCTTATGACCACAAAACTTGCTCGATTGTCAGAATGGACAAGATCGTGCGGATTAGGTGTAAATGCCTCGAAAACGGAACTTGTGCTATTCACTAACAAGTACAAAACTCCGCCACTCAACTCCCCAACACTAAACAAATGTAGGTTAACCTTTAGCGACAGTGCCAGTTACCTTGGGTTGGTAATAGACAGAAAGTTAAATTGGAACCTAAACACGAAAGAAAGAGTGAAGAAGGCCACTGTGGCCCTATACACCTGCAAAAAAGCCATCAGACTAAAATGGGGCATGAACCCATGTATAGTCCAATGGAGATACCAAGCTGTTGCCAAACCAATACTGCTCTACGGAGTCACAGTATGGTGGCCGGCTCTGTCAAAAAAGACAATCACCGCTCAACTGGCAAAGGTATAACGAACGCATCAGTGGCGCTCTCCGCACCAGACCAAATGAAGCACTAAATGCCATCCTATGCCTGCAGGGCATAGACTTTACAGGGAAGGAACAGGCAGCAAGGGCAGCAATACGTCTGCGAGATTCGGACCTATGGGCGTCACGACCATATGGTCACTCAGCGATCTTTAGGGACACTAATATAGTTCCTCATAGGAATGATTATTGCGTTCCCAGAGAGTACACAGACATCCCCTTCGAGGCTAAAGGGACATCGAAGGCAACTGCATAGCAGACGAGTTGGCCAGATCTGGCACTACACTCCCCCTTAATCAAGATAAGGAGGAAATACGTATGCCAATGGCCACTTGCAAGCTCAAAATAAAGGAGTACTATACCCTGCAAACAACCAACAGATGGCAAGTGGTCAGGGGCTGTCGCATCACTCGACAAACGTGGCCAGACATCTCGAGAAAACGCACCGCTGAACTATGCAAACTAAGCAGACATAGGTGCAGCATAGTCATTCGCTCTCTTTTAGGGCACTGGCTAATAAGCAACCATGCAAATAGGCTGGGTGCAACCTACAACGACTTCTGTCTTAGCTGTAGAGACGAGGACGAGGAGGAGACAGTAGAACATCTGTTCTGCTCCTGCCCGGCTCTCCGTAGAAGGAGGTTAAAATATCTCTGCTCACCTTTTCTTAACGACATTTCAGAAATGGCTACTATAAGCCCCAGGAAGATAGCAAATTTTGTGACAGCATCTGGATGGGAGCACTGCTGACACCCTGACAAACGGGAGGAGAAGAGGAAAAGATCCAAGCGGAATCACAACGGGCCGCAACCGGCCTAGGTGTGTCGGGATTGTGAAGTCCCGACTACCGCCTCAACCTAACCTAACCTACAATTTGAACCGTGAGACAGTGAGCCGGAATAAAGAAATTGAAAAATATACTTTGTCTCTCAATCCGTATGCCTAGCCACGGAAATTAGAGTAGATATTTAATTGGCGCCTAACGAGGTTAACTCTTAAAAAAATAACCCCAACAGTTGCAGAGATTCTGTTGTACAGATTATGATTTCTTTACATGTTTTAGAGAACAAATTGGTACAGAATCAAAACGTTTAGCTTTAAATACAACAAACCGAAGCTTAGAGTAGAAAAGCGCCCAACCGGTCGAAATTTTAATTAAAAATTAATTTATTTTATTCCAACAACGTAGCAGCCAGAAAACGAGAAGGTACGTGTGAGACGCTTCTACCGCTTCACAAATTGTATACCCGAGACTCAGTACTACATCTTTACCTTTGCCGCGTTTTTGTCTAATTTTACATATTTTCTTCATCTGTTGTCTACATCTACGACACTTCTCTTTTAGCTCGCCACCCTCCCCTTGAGCCACACACTGCAAAGTCACGGCAGAGGCCGAGGCAGAGGTACGGCAGAGGCAGAGGCCGCACACTGCAGAAGCAAAATGTGAATGAGAGAATGTGAAAAAAAAAACAAATATAAGCTGAGGGACGGGGTGAGTTTAGCCACTGAAAATTAATCTGATTATATATGGTCATTCCCTGGCCATTCTTTTATCTTCAAATTTGTAGATTTGGGAGGTTTTCGCCATTTTTAGAGGCTGGTAACAGTGTGAACATACAGCAGTCTGGAGACAAAATTTGGTGGCTCTAGCTCTTATAGTCTCTGAGAAAACGAGAAAACGGGCCGAAAACGTTTCCTTCTGTGCGTTACATGCAACCGTTATTCGCACAAATAAAATATACCCTATTTACTCTTCAAGTATACAAAATGCAAAAAGGTTTCAAGCGCTAACAATTAAAACGCACACGAAGCCGAGAACATAACCGACGACGAGAACAACAATTGGAAAGTTTTACATAAATACATATACATATATACAAATGTACATATGTACATACATATATACATATATAAATATATATGTATTTATATTTATCTGAAAAGATTTGTCTATAAAAGATGGATTTGGTAACAATGTTGATAATACGGCAGCAACGAAGTCGAGAAGCGTTTCCATAATATGCTTACAATTTTGAATACAGCAGTATTAAATCTGCACTTAAAACAATTACAGCATACAAATACAATAATAACTTTTATTTATTTTTTTCCAACCCCCAAGGGTTTGGCCCCATCGCCCACACATTATTCTGCACATGTTGCGGCAGGTCAGGTTCATACGCCAAGCCCCGAAACAAAATCAAATTATCAAAACGAATTTTCGTTCCATCGCAGCTCAGCTAGTCAACGCACCAACACTTACATTACGTGCAGTGTCCGTGTGAATCAAGACAAAAACTCGCTCGTGCGAGTGAAAAGTGCGAGTGAAAGGGCTCTCGCTGTAAGTGTGAGGGCAACGACAATGGAGTGTGTTGATTAACCATTTGAAAGCAATGTGAAAAAACATTTTTAATAGTTTGCTACATGATAGTAGTCTTTGTTTAAAAAAAACATATTATGAAAAAATTTGAAAACAAAATTTTGTCCGCAAGCAACCCTCCGCGTCGACAAGCAAACGAGCACTGACAATAGGAAGAACCAGCGAGTAACTCTGCCACCGACGAGGCCTCCTTATAGTTTCTTCATGACCTGACCTGAATGTCCACCACCCGATACAGCGAGTACACCAAAATGCCAAGACTGCAGTATAAACAGAACATCCAGTGAGACCCGGGTAGCCAAAGGCCAGTAATACCTATTAATTGAAGGTGAGATTTATTTCATCTATTTCACCTGCGAGAGAAAATATCGCATTGTTATAAAGGATGTTATGGATTCTGCAGCGACAAATATCGTAAGCTATATATAGTTGATTGGCTTCTTGCGGAAAATAAATGGGCAATATCACACCATCATCAGAATTACCAGCTGACTACATATGGCCACAACGTCCAGATACCAATGTTTGAGAAGCCACAATTTTGCATCGTCATTGGTCACAAAGATCGCCTTAACCCCCGTTGCCGCAAGCAGCACCATGTGTGGTGCAGAGAAACGGTGGCGTTATCCATGCTGGATCGCCTGGTATGCCAGCTTTAACTTGTATGGTGCAGATTTTCATTACAAAGCTGCGCCTCGTCGACTTGTTCTCGAAGGAATTGTTGTACGTCAAGTCATGTGTAGTGCTTCTCCCGAAGCACTTTTGGCACCTGAAGGGATTTCCTTACAATGCAAGAATGAACTTTCAGAGACTAAATACTTTTACATTATACAGACGAAGAAAACTTTCTTCTTAGTGAACTTTTGGGGCACCGGCAGCTTCTTTATAACCTCTGCAGCGTTGTTTATTCTTTTGTCATGGCAGCAGTTACCGCATCGCATCTCGTTGACTAATTCTATCGATTTGCTGCGACGGTTATCCCTAGATCTGTACATGATCTGGAACAGTCCGTCGAAAAGCTTTTGCACATCGCACATAATTGTTTGTAGCTCTTTTTTAAGAATTTTTTTTTTTTTGATTTTGTTATAAACCTTTCAAGTTTCTACAGTATTTCAAAGGTTGCGATGATTCAAAGAAACTGAGTATAAATCCAAAGCTATACAAATAAAGTAACTATGCAGATACTGAATTACTGATGAAAATTATCTTTCTGGGGAGAATAAAGGAATATTCGAATCTATTTTTTCATGTGTTGCCTGACAGTTTTATTAATTTTTGTTCATATTTCACTGCCTACTCTTCCCGTTTCCGAGGCACTAAATTGGATTTTGAAAGTGGCCTGTAATTTACATACACTTAACAATTTTTATTGGCAAAATGTACACTAATCATCCAGTAATCCAATCAACGTGAGTATGTACAGAAACAGATGGACAACTTCATTGTAGATGGAGAGGGAAGCCATCAGGTAGTCCTCCTCGCTGTACTGATTCTTGTGATTCATCATCTGTATGTCCACCACCAGATTCAGCGAGTACACCAATATGCCAAGACTGCAGTATATACAGAGCATCAAGTGCGTCCGGTAGAAGATCATGACAATGACCATGGGTAACATCACAAGAAATAAAACCAATAAATATGGACCACAGCCGCTGAAGTCGCAGGGAGCGAAGCGAGCGAACAGGGCCAGAGCAGTCACCAACAGACCCGGGTAGCCAAAGGCCATTAATACCTATAAATATAGTAGAGGTGAGATTTATTTTATTTGTTCCAGAGCGGGGGGACTCACATGCGAGAGAAAATATCGCATTGTTATAAAGGATGTTATGGATTCTGCAGCGACAAATATCGTAAACAATATATAATTGAAGGCTTCTTGCGGAAAAGAAATGGGCAAAGCACACCATCATCAGAATTACCTTCTCAATGCATATGGCCACAACGGCCAGATACCAGTTTTTGAGAAGCCACAAAGTCCATGTTTGGGCTCTCTTGTGTTGAAAAGGGATCAGCAGAGGCGTTGTGCGAATTGAGTGACAAAATTAACGCCCATATTCGGGCACTTAGCACCATGGCAACCATCGAGGAGCTTGTAGACGGACTACTGATCCACACTATAATGCACAAGCTCATCACCACACCCAGGAGAAATGGCATTAGGCACTCGCAATAGATAAGCTACCCAGGTAGACGGATATGTCGGTGTTCTTAGAGAAGAGATGCCGCAGGTGGGAAGAAAAGTACACAAATCGAATCGTAACACATTCATTGCATTTTTATCGAACAATTACCAGAAAATCTTTCATTTCTGCGACTCAAAAGAGCATTATCTTGCTAAATGCCCTATGTTTTTGAGCCTGTCTCTTATTTTGCGCCACAAATAGGCAAAACGATTGCATCTATACTTAAACTGCTTGCCCAAAAGTCATGGCTTGCAGCAATGTCGCTCCGGTCATTGCAGGCATTGTCAACAAAGGCATCATTAGTTGTTGCACATGAGCCCTGTTACAACTCAATCTTCTGCTCTATGTATGTACACCAGGCTTGCAGCCTGCAGATGCGGCTTACCTACACACATCGTCTTCGGCGAATTCACCATCTTACCACTTGATACATCCCACCGCCATCATATATGCCAAGAGCACCTCAGGTGTATTTGTACCCTGACGTGCATTGCTAATCAGCTTCGACTCAAAACTCATTATGTTGCCTTCTCGATATTTGGTACAGGCGAATCAACCCTATCCTCTAACATGTCCACTGACATTTCAGCGCAGCCCCGTGGTAGGAGATTCAGCACATAATTGCAGCAGTCGTCACTCGCAGTATTAGGGATTAACATCCTCCTTTTGGATTGGACGTTTCTGACTGGAATATCCCCAAAAGTATCTCGCCCAACGTTCTTCAAATCTCAGAGAATAGATTTATTACAAGTCAAATTCGAATGGCGGATAACCTACCAACGCTCCAGAAGTCCAAGCTCGGATGGATTGCATCTGGAGGACTCTCACGCGTACAAAGCAAGCACACATCCCTATCAGCTCTTTACAAGAACCCTAATCCAGAGGAAGATTCGCTGTCGGACATCGAATAACTATTTTGGTAACTCGACAGCTACTGCGGCACAGCCCCTACGATCTCTGATGAAGACGGCTTATGTCGGGACTTAAGTCGGGACAGTATTCAGTGCGACTTTTATCAAAGCTCAGCTTCTATACGTTAGGAGACTCATATCAACATGCTCTGAGATGCTTCAAGACCCTCGAAAACAAATTGGCCAAAAATCCACACATGAAGTGGAGCTACTCTGCATTTATGAGCGAATACATCGAGTTGGGCCACATGTCTTTGGCTTCCAAGCAACGGCTTTTTCTGCAATTCTATTTACCCCATCACTGTGTAGAAAAGCCAGATAGCTGCACCACAAAATGGCTCGTCGTTTTCGAAGGATCAGCTAAGTCCACATCAGGCGCTCCTCTGAATGATGTCTTGCACACAGACCCTTCAATCCAAGCCAAATTATTCAACATTCTGTTTCAATTTCGTTTTTTGAAGGTTGACATGTGCGGAAATATCTGTAAGATGTACCGATACGTGAGAATACTTCACCCAGATCAACATCTGCAATGCATCTAATGGCGGCAGCAGCAGCTCAGCTACGAGGAGGAGCCTAACTTTCCGCTAGCTTCAAAGGTAGTTCGCCTCGACTTTCTCTATCGAAGAAGCCATTAAAATCCGCCAGCAAATAAAACTTTTTCTGGCTTATTAGACCTGTCCCTGTCTCAAGTCAACCATGTAAAAAACTCCTTGGGTCGATTGCTTGATCTGTGCTTTGTCTCGGATCCGACCGTTGCGTTGATAACACGAGCACTTCCACTCACTATATCTGAAGTGTCGGTAGATATTGGACTAGATAGGCTTTGTGAACGCGTCCGCTGCTTTCGTAAAGCCGAGTTTACGTTCTGTACTCGTGCACTGACGTGAAGGCACAAACATTGTTTACAATTTACTTAACACAATTTTTGACTCGTGTGTCCCACTCTCATGTCCGACTAGATCTGCGAAGCCTCCTTGGTTCACCAAAGAGTTATCCAGTCTAAAGAACCTAAAATCAAGACTATTTAAAAAATCTCAAGAAGGTGGTGCTTCCTCTTCTCTTTCTAATTACTTAATAGCTCGGTCAAATTTCACTGTTCTTAATGCTCAATGCTATAGGAAGTACCTCCTTCTATGCAGGATACGTTTTTCACAGGACCCTAAACAGTTCTACAGCTTTCTAAGCAGTAAGTGTAGAACGTCCGCACATCCATCCTCGCTATCATTTTTGAATATGTCGGCAAACAATAATCAGGCAATCGCCGATCTTTTTGCACAATTTTTTCAAACCACATATTCCCAGGAAAGCTACCCAGGTCATATGTATCCATATAGTCTACCAAGGTCGAATGGCATTTTCTGCCCATTGTTTAATGAAAGCTCCTTACTTCATGAACTTCAATTAGTTAAGCCTGTATTTTCACCGGGCCCTGACGGAGTTCCCAGCTGAGTACTCAGGTACTGTGCCGAGTCTCTGTGTGGATCTTTGCTTAAACGGTTCACTCTATCCATCTGTTTCCAAAACTCCTCGCAACCAGTTCGGAATCAAAATCTCGAAATAAAAAGCCAAGTGCTCCTGGTTCGACCGAGTCGGAATTCAAATCAATTTAATAATCTTCTTCTTTTCAATTTCGATATTCGATTTCGGTCTCTTGCGTTCTCTTTTGTAGTGACCAGACGTGTTTTTGTTTTGCGCTCCGTATTTTCCTTTATATTTTGCATAAACACCGGGTTTTATTTCGAAATAATTCTTCTATAATTATTGAATAGCTTGCCGCTTTTCTTAACTATCTTAATACGCGAGTGCATGCCTATTATTTTGTTTAAAATTAAAATGCATAATTAAACACGCAGCCAATCAACACACAAACACGAAAAAGAACAACATTCATGCGGGAGTGATAATTGGCGAGAGAGAAGTAGTTGCGCTTCTGTCTTTCACTCTATAGCTCGAGTAACTGTTCTCCCTCTCTCGCTCTCAATACTTTCTGTGCAGTGGCGTGCGCTCACTGTTTTAGCTGCCGCTGCGCTTGTTTTTCTCTCCTCTCTGCGCTCATCTGTTTTCGATCCCGCTTTAAACTTTTCTTTAAGCAATTGGTCGGCACACTGGTCCCATTGCTATTTGTTTTGTGAAAATAATTTTTATTTATTTTATTTATTTATATATTCAAAATAAATAATAAAATAATGGAATACTTGGTTGTGTGCTCCGCTAAGGCTTGCAAAAAGCAGATCACCCACGACCAGCCGATCATCCCTTGCTGGCTCTGCGATAACGTAGTGCACGCAAAATGTATTGGGTTCTCAGGCCTCGTGGGTGACGCAATTTCGAAGCGTAATGGTCTGCATTACAGTTGCGAGTCGGTCTATCGAGAGTGACATAGTCACGTTTATGAGGCAGACGCGAAAGGGCTTTAAGGAGCTGACCGTGGGCTTTAAAAAGCAGTACGATCGGCTTCTAGCCATGGAATCTCAATTCAGCAGTTTTAAAGTGCTGAATGAGTCTCCTAGGCGCAAAAAAGTCACTCCTCGTGATCTGCAAGTGCCTGTCCCTCGACCGCTCGCTGCTGATCAACTGTCTCCGTCCACTCCGATAGTGCAGCAGCTAATTTCGTTCGCTACTCCAAGGGCAACGACAACTGCTGGTGATCAAGTTTCGGCTTCCGAATCGATCATCTCGGAGAACATGCAGCCAGTTAGTACTGTAGCGTCCGTGTCTGTCGAGTCCGTTCCAAAGCCCATCCCATCTATTTCGATCCCACCAGTTAATAAACGTCCCGGACCACCGGATATTGCCGTCACAGGTACCAGATCTGTGGTGCCAAAACCTCTGGTGGGAGTCCCANTTGTGCGTCGGTTAGTTGTGTGTTTGTGCTTTTTCTTGTTGTAAGTACGCCCTCACTATTAACCGCTCTCTCTTGTAGTTGCGCTTCTGTCTTTCACTCTATAGCTCGAGTAACTGTTCTCCCTCTCTCGCTCTCAATACTTTCTGTGCAGTGGCGTGCGCTCACTGTTTTAGCTGCCGCTGCGCTTGTTCTTCTCTCCTCTCTGCGCTCATCTGTTTTCGATCCCGCTTTAAACTTTTCTTTAAGCAATTGGTCGGCACACTGGTCCCATTGCTATTTGTTTTGTGAAAATAATTTTTATTTATTTTATTTATTTATATATTCAAAATAAATAATAAAATAATGGAATACTTGGTTGTGTGCTCCGCTAAGGCTTGCAAAAAGCAGATCACCCACGACCAGCCGATCATCCCTTGCTGGCTCTGCGATAACGTAGTGCACGCAAAATGTATTGGGTTTTCAGGCGCAATTTCAAAGCGTAATGGTCTGCATTACAGTTGCGAGGCATGTCGGTCTATCGAGAATGACATGGTCACGTTTATGAGGCAGACGCGAAAGGGCTTTAAGGAGCTGACCGTGGGCTTTAAAAAGCAGTACGATCGGCTTCTAGCCATGGAATCTCAATTCAGCAGTTTTAAAGTGCTGAATGAGTCTCCTAGGCGCAAAAAAGTCACTCCTCGTGATCTGCAAGTGCCTGTCCCTCGACCGCTCGCTGCTGATCAACTGTCTCCGTCCACTCCGATAGTGCAGCAGCTAATTTCGTTCGCTACTCCAAGGGCAACGACAACTGCTGGTGATTAAGTTTCGGCTACCGAATCGATCATCTCGGAGAACATGCAGCCAGTTAGTACTGTAGCGTCCGTGTCTGTCGAGTCCGTTCC